ACGTCCTAGAGGACAGGCAGGAGGAGTTCCAGTGTCTAGCCGCTGCTTCACCTCGTCTCGCGTCTGTACTGCTAGCCCCTGAGGGAGACCCGGATGCACTAGACATCCCGACTCCGCGTTCTTACGCGGAGGCCGTAGAGGGTCCCTACTCCTCTCAGTGGCAGGCAGCTATGGATGCAGAGATGGCTTCCTGGAAGTCCACAGGCACCTACGTTGACGCGGTTCCCCCTCCTGGGGCGAACATCGTCAGTGGCATGTGGATCTTCAGGGTGAAGCGGCCGCCGGGCTCGCCGCCTGTCTTCAAGGCGCGTTACGTGGCTCGTGGCTTCAGTCAGCGGCAGGGAGTTGACTACTTTCAGACCTTCTCTCCCACCCCGAAGATGACCACTCTTCGGGTGCTGCTGCACATTGCCGCTCAGCGCGACTACGAGCTTCACTCTCTCGACTTCAGCACTGCGTTCCTGCAGGGTAGCCTGCACGAGGAGATCTGGCTGCGCCGTCCGCCTGGCTTCACTGGGACTTTCCCTCCTGGCACCCAGTGGAGCCTCCGACGGCCAGTCTACGGTCTCCGCCAGGCACCGCGTGAGTGGCACGACACACTGAGGACTACGCTTGCGGCTCTTGGGTTTGCTCCTTCTACTGCTGACCCGTCGCTGTTTCTTCGCACCGACACTTCCCTGCCGCCGTTCTACATCCTCGTGTACGTCGACGACTTGGTCTTTGCCACAGCGGACATTGCTGGACTCGCCTACGTGAAGTCCGAGCTGCTGAAGAAACACACGTGCACAGACCTGGGTGAACTGCGCAGCTACCTTGGCTTGCAGATCACTCGGGACAGAGCACGCCGCACCATTACCCTGACTCAGTCACACATGGTGCAGCAGGTCCTTCAGCGCTTCGGCTTCACGTACTCCTCGCCTCAGGCCACTCCTCTGCCTACTCGCCACTCACTCTCAGCTCTGCCTTCGGATGAGTCCGTAGAGTCGAGTGGTCCGTATGCAGAGCTTGTTGGCTGCCTCATGTACCTGATGACCTGCACACGACCTGACCTTGCATACCCTCTGAGCATCCTTGCACGCTATGTTGCTCCTGGGAGACACCGACCAGAGCACATGGCTGCAGCGAAGAGGGTATTGCGCTACCTGTGCAGTACGTCGGGCATGGGGCTAGTGCTTGGAGGGCGGAGTCCAGTGGTCCTTACTGGGCACGCAGACGCTTCTTGGGCTGACGACCAGGCTACGCAGCGGTCGTCACAGGGTTACACCTTCAGCCTTGGTTCCGGCTCTGTCTCGTGGCGGTCTACTCGCTCGTCTTCGGTTCTCGGCTCCAGTTGTGAGGCTGAGATCTACGCCGGGGCCATGGCTGCACAGGAGCTTCGCTGGCTCACCTACCTGCTGACTGACCTTGGAGAGCTGCCTCGTTCTCCTCCAGTGCTGTACGTAGACAACAAGGCCATGTTGGCCTTGTGTCGAGAGCAGCGCTTGGAGCACAGAACGAAGCACATTGCTCTCCGCTACTTCCTTGCTCGTGAGCTGCAGCAGCGTGGTCAGTTGCGACTTGCTTACGTGGCCTCTGAGGCCAACACTGCTGATGTGTTCACCAAGGCACTTGCGTCTTGCGACCATCAGCGCTTTTGTACCCAGCTGGGTCTTGTACCTGTCTTGCCTCACTTGCTCTCTTCTTGACTTTACTTGTACTTTGACATATATATACCTGCTCTTGCTTGTCTAGTTTTATATATATGTCTGTACTCCTGCATGTGAACTGGCCTCTGGCCTTGCTCTTGTGCTCGGACTGTGTGGTGACTTTGTGATCCACCCTGAGCTTGCTTTGCTTTGCTTGACTGGTCTTGTGACCCCTTGTTCTCCCCCACTTTGCCTATGGGGGTGTGTCAGATTATTATAGCTGATGCATGTTTGTAGGCTATAGTGGGGTAGCACATATGGGGTACAGTTTGCTAGGGTTGTATTTGTACCCAACTCTGACTTAGTCCATTCATTCCTGTTCATTCCTTTCACACGGCGGATGGTGCAGATTGCGAGGGCCTTGCCAGGGCGGAAAGGCCTTGGCAAGGGGTCCGCCGTGACTTGTGACCGCCATAAACTTGGGCGTTGGGGAACCATCTATTGCAAAACTCGCAGACGACGCCAGGTAAGGAGCCCATGCGGTACGGATCTGTCTAAGTGTTGAGGAATGGCCTGTGAAGCAACGAGCGTCGTGGGAAGCTTGAGAAGGCATTAAGTACTCCGTGCAAGAAGGCTGGTAATGCAACACGGTCATCGCCAAACCGCGCACTGTTCAAGGCGGCTTGTATCACTGCACGACTGGCACTTGAGCGGGCAGCTTATGTTTGGACGTGCCTAACGATGTGCGCGCCGCGCGGTCGTGACAAGGCACATGGAGCAGCGGAGAATGCGCTTGATTCTAAGACGGTAGGTCTTGTGTGTGCGTTGCGAGCTCGGTGAGAAGGACGTGCCTGTGGATTCACGCACTCTTGGTGCGTGAGAGTCGAGTGGGATGAGGAAGAGCGGGAAGAGATCCGTTTGGATCTGTAGTTCAGTTGCGAATTGTTATACGGGGGAGATCGCGCTCACGTTAGTGAGCTCACAGTGGTGAGCTCGACAACGGACAAAATACAGCGCAGGATATTACATTGTACAATTGCATTTAATCTATACACTAAACTCGTTGATGATAACTACTACACGGTCACATGAAAATGCCTGCTCGAGATCCACCCGTAGTTGACAACGTGACATTCTAAAAACCATACAAGATCTCTAGTGTGGTCTGGCAACATACGGGAAGTACACAAGAACTTCGTGCCCTCACGATAACGCATCGCCGATTGTGCGTTGTGGCTGTTGGGCTGAAAAGGCCCTAAGGATCTTTTTCAGAGGATAACTCTGGGTAGAATACTTTTGTAATAGCGGAAGCGTTTAATGAAGCTTTGTGAACCGACCTTGCACTAGTGTGTGAGAGCAAAGTAGATTGAATTATATTGAAAGGATACAAGCTTATATAATAATACAGGGAATATGAAGAGATACGGTTATAACTACTTTTACTGTTGCTGTTGGGGTTCGATACAGTGCGACTCGGGCAACTGCTCTGTAACGAGTCAGTTGTGTGTCCTTAACTGTCGCTCTGTTCTTGTCAGGTCAAGGGTCAGCGACCTTTGACTTTCGCGTAACTTCCTGCAGCCGATTCAACCTCCGAGGGTTGACTCGCAGGTGCTTCGGTGTAGGTTGCCTCGCTTCTGGTGCAATGTTTTGACACTGCTGAAGCGTTTAAGTTCCATTGTTTCCAACAGTGGCTCTACTTCATACCCCTTTGAGGCACCTACTTGAATGTCCGTGCAAGGTTAGATGACAATCCAACACTGTACCACAACGGATTCGCCTGGTCGCGCAAGCATTGTATGGATGCGAACGCAGCAACGTCGCCAAACTAAACAGCGATGTCGATTGCGCATCAACGCTCGTGCGTTGGGCCTGTGCTTCATCCCACACCCTCAATGCACCTGGCGGAGGGCCCATGCAAGAATGGAGCCCCATCCAACACCATTCCACAACGGATTCGCCTGGTCGCGCAAGCATTGTATGGATGCGAACGCAGCAACGTCGCCAAACTAAACAGCGATGTCGATTGCGCATCAACGCTCGTGCGTTGGGCCTGTGCTTCATCCCACACCCTCAATGCACCTGGCGGAGGGCCCATGCAAGAATGGAGCCCCATCCAACACCATTCCACAACGGATTCGCCTGGTCGCGCAAGCATTGTATGGATGCGAACGCAGCAACGTCGCCAAACTAAACAGCGATGTCGATTGCGCATCAACGCTCGTGCGTTGGGCCTGTGCTTCATCCCACACCCTCAGTGCACCTAGCGGAGGGCCCATGCAAGAATGGAGCCCCATCCAACACCATTCCACAACGGATTCGCCTGGTCGCGCAAGCATTGTATGGATGCGAACGCAGCAACGTCGCCAAACTAAACAGCGATGTCGATTGCGCATCAACGCTCGTGCGTTGGGCCTGTGCTTCATCCCACACCCTCAATTCACCATGTCGAGGGCCCACGCAAGAATGGAGCCCAAGCCAACACCACACTACATCTCCATTCCAGTTGGCACTAGTACACGTCGTGCTTGAACAACTTCCAACGACCAGTATCCGTCGCCCATTCTCAATGTGTGCTCAGTATAGCATTCCATAGTCCACGAGTTGGAAGCACAAAGAGTGCGTCCTAAGCCCCATGCACTCACTAAACTTCACACCATATGACACCATAAACGGCTATTCACTTCAAATTGTCTTAGTTGTACTTTGCAAGTGTATTCAGCTACTATGTTAAAATTTGATCATTGCACTAGGCACTGTATTTTGCAGGATGTGATGATTGGTGGTGTCGAAACGGTACTAGATTCCGTGGAGATTGATGCGTTGGCGCTGATTGGCCGACGCATCTCAAACGACCCTCCCCACTACCGCACCAGTCAAGCTGGACATTCGCCGCGGAAGCAGCGACTGTGATCAAGCGTGTAGTGCGTTTCTGATCGGGAGGCAAATCGTAGACCGTCCGATGGTGCGTTTTCTGCTTACAGTCCTCTCGATAGACTCGCAAACCACCCCAACTACCGTCGTGCCCCACTCACCAGCTTCCGTCACCCTCATACCCACTACCTTGACGCCGCTCGCTGCTGAACACAGGAGTTTCCAAATCGCCAGTTAGACGGAGTAGCGACGAAGGAAAGGGCTGACGCCATGTGCTTAGTAGCTACTAATTCAGGTGTAATTGTACCTTCCGATTTAGGGTGAAAAAGTATTGGCTTCACCGGGACGGGGTCAAATAGCAACAAACCTTTCCGGTTTTTTTTTTTTAAACTCAGCTATCCAATCCCGCAATTTAAAACTTGCATTCGTACCACCCTCATGACACCTGCTACTCGGCAAACAGAAAAGCAGAAGGAGGAGGCAAAACGACGCACGACACGAAGGATGTCGCATCAGACCGACCAAGAGGGTGGGGCCAGATCTAGGGCTACTAAAAAGGCCGCCGCGCAAACCAATCAAACGAAACGTGCGGCGGGGAAAAAGGCTGAGGTGGGAAAGCAGAAGCCCGGGAAGAAGGCGGAGGACAAGGGGAAGCAACCAACGGCACGCAAGCGTGTTTCGGCCGTCAGGAGCGATGCGGATGTTGCCACTGCTGCCCTCGAGCCCGGTCCTTCTGACGACGGCACCATCGGCGGGAACGAAGACCCTGGGCGTGGCGGCGTGAGTGTTGCCGTCCGGTCGGGGGACAGAGAGGGCTTTGCGACTGGAGGAAAGCACGGCGACTCTCCCCGCCAAGATCAGGCCGCAACTTCGACGTCCGTGGCAGAGGCAAAGCAGCAGCATCTGACGCTGCCCCACCCGCCCGTGGTCGAAATATCTGCTGCAGTGATAGATAAGGAGAAGGATGCTGCGCACGATTGCACGGAGGGGCCGAAACACGACATTGCCGACGTAGGTGGATCTCCTCCCTCTGGGGGACGCGGGAGGCGTAGGCAGAGGAAGAGCGATGGTGAGGAGGAGAATGACACCCCCGTGGCTGAGGACATGCCCATACGCGCGAAGAGGAGGCAGACGACAGCTAGCGGTGACGACGCCGGTGGTGCTGAAGTTGGGACAATGCGAGGCACCACGGCGCCAAGTGGCTTGGCGACAGATCATGCAATGCGGCATAAGGTGGGATCCGGTCCGAGGAAACCATCTAGCGGACGGAGGGGGAAGCAATCTTCGGGGGGGAATAGGCCGAAGCGCGGCAAAGAAGGCCCTGGTGAAGCGGATGTTGAGGACGAGGGGGATGGGGAGGAGGAGGCCGAGGAGGATGCGGAGGAGGAGGACGAGGATGCAGGGGAGGGAGAAAAGGACGAGGATGAGCAGGAGGGCGACGATGATGAGGAGGAGGAGGAGGAGGAGGAGGAGGAGGAGGATGAGGATGAGGACGATGAGGAGGACGATGAGGGGGACGACGAGGATGAGGAGAAGGAGGAGGAGGAGGAGGAGGAGGAGGAGGAGGAGGAGGAGGAGGAGGAGGAGGAGGAGGAGGAGGAGGAGGAGGAGGAGGAGGAGCAGGAGGAGGAGGAGGAGGAGGAAGAGGAGGAGGAGGAGGATGATGAGGAGGAGGATGAGGAGGAGGAGGACGACGAGGAGGAAGAGGAGGTGGAGGAAGGGGCGGATGAGGAGGAGGAGGAGGAGGAGCCGGCAGGGAAAGGACGGGGCGCGCGAGGCGGACGGGGGAGTGGCACAGGGAAGGTGGGGGGCCGGTCTGGACAATCCCGGAAACGCGGGGCGGGTGACGCAATGCGTGCCGGACCAGCGGGCAAATCGAAGGCGCGTAAGGTGAAGGTTGAACTTGACCGGGGTGGAAGGAAGCAAGTGAGACAGGGAGCTAAAGGCGATGGAGACGGAAAGGGACCGCGCGCGAAAGGGGTACCTGTGGGTTCGGCAAAGAAAGAACCTGCCCGTAAACGAGGCAGCACCCGCCAAAGCACACCGTGGAAACGGGGCAACGATAAGGAGCAGGCAGCAAAACCGAAGGGACAGCAACGTGGTAAGCAACGTGTCACAAACGACTGGCATAGCTGCCGCGGTTTGTGCTGAACAGACCCTAACAACACCGTGTTCCACCCGTCTTTTCCCGCCGCAGGGAAGGAGAAGGTTGACGAATCGGCTAACCCGGGTAAGGCGTGACTATACACTACAGTTCCGTGCTACACCCATGTTAGAATCATGCGGTTGCTCGTCATGTTTGCACGTGTCCAAATGCACCTTACAGACACCAGCTCCGTGCTCATCCTCCGTGTGACTCTCAGCCCCCCGTGTTACAGGCATTGGGCCACCAGTAACCGTGCAACGGATGCAGCTAGCAAAAGGGGCCGGAAGAGCGAGTGTGGCACCGCTATCCACAGGAGGACCAAGGTTCTTCACGCCATACTCTGGCCCGAGCAAAGTTGCTGCGACTGCACCCGGCGCGGCAACAGGCGAGGAATCCGAATCCCCTCCACCAGCCCCCGTCACGCACTCCCCACTCGCCTCTCCCTCATACCCATTTCGGCCACTACACGCTTCTCCAGCCCGGGGCAGGGCGGTCTCCCCCCTCGCCGGTCCATCGCGTGTGCATCAACCAAGCACCTTTGCCAATCCCTTCCCTGAGCTTCCCTTTTCCCGCCAGCGTGATAGTGTGAGGGCACACGGTGCTGCTGCAGAAGACGTTGATCCCCTTGGCCAGAGAGGGGTTTCTACACACCCTTTTCCGGATGTCATGGATGCGCTGGCTGAAGGTGCAGAGCACGGGCAGTTTGTTACACGAGACGAGTTCCAGCAGCTACGGTATGAGATGTACGCCATGTTTGCTCAGCTCGGCCTGCGTCGGGGAGCAACTGCCAGCTATGCCGGGGGGGCCGCAGTGGTGCCGATGGGTGGTACCCCGCCGCCGATGAGTGCCGTGGACAAGGCACGTGTGCTTGTGCTGCAGGAGACCAACCCATTCCCGGTATGTGGCGGGTTGGGGTTGACGTGGCAACCAGGGCAGGGTTGGGAATGACCTGGCGGTTGGAAAGGGTGCGCGGGAGCGGTGCAGGGCGACACGTGACTCCACATGTGGGCAGGGGCTGACGTGGCTCTTTCGGATCTCTGTGTGCGACGTGGCAAGTGGGTAGGGTTGGTGGGTTTAGACGGCGGACGCAAGAGGGTGTGACGTGGCGGGATGTGTGGCTTGGTGCTGACGTGGCACCTTGGAAGGGCACACGGGAGCGGCGCTCAACGAGGCGCCGCGTGTCAGGTGGGTGGGGTGTGACGTGGCATGGGGTGGGCGGGTGTGACGTGGCACGTGGGGCTGGCTGCTACCTGACGTGGCGGATGCAGGAGGGTGTGCCGTGGCGGGATGTGTGGCTTGGTGCTGACGTGGCGGCTTGGAAGGGTACACGGGAGCGGCGCGTGACGATGCTACACGTGTGCGGTGGGTGGCTTGGTGACGTGGCATGGGGTGGGCGGGTATGACGTGGCACGTGAAGCTGGCTGATCCCTGACGTGGCGGACGCAAGGGCGTGTGACGTGGCGGGATGTGTGGCTTGGTGCTGACGTGGCGGCTTGGAAGGGCACAAGGGAGCGGCGCTCAACGAGGCGACGCGTGTCAGGTGGGTGGGGGGTGACGTGGCATGGGGTGGGCGGGTGTGACGTGTCACGTGGGGCTGGCTGCTCCCTGACGTGGCGGATGCAGGAGGGTGTGCAGTGGCGGGATGTGTGGCTTGGTGCTGACGTGGCGGCTTGGAAGGGTACACGGGAGCGGCGCATGACGATGCTACACGTGTGCGGTGGGTGGCTTGGTGACGTGGCATGGGGTGGGCGGGTATGACGTGGCACGTGGGGCTGGCTGATCCTTGACGTGGCGGACGCAAGGGCGTGTGACGTGGCGGGATGTGTGGCTTGGTGCTGACGTGGCGGCTTGGAAGGGCACAAGGGAGCGGCGCTCAACGAGGCGACGCGTGTCAGGTGAGTGGGGGGTGACGTGGCATGGGGTGGGCGGGTGTGACGTGTCACGTGGGGCTGGCTGCTCCCTGACGTGGCGGATGCAGGAGGGTGTGCCGTGGCGGGATGTGTGGCTTGGTGCTGACGTGGCGGCTTGGTAGGGTACACGGGAGCGGCGCGTGACGACGCTACACGTGTCAGGTGGGTGGGGGGTGACGTGGCATGGGGAGGGTGGGTGTGACGTGTCACGTGGGGCTGGCTGATCCCTGACGTGGCAGACGCAAGGGCGTGTGACGTGGCGGGATGTGTGGCTTGGTGCTGACGTGGCGGCTTGGAAGGGTACACGGGAGCGGCGCGTGACGACGCTACACGTGTCAGGTGGGTGGGGGTGACGTGGCATGGGGAGGGTGGGTGTGACGTGTCACGTGGGGAGGGTCGTTGGTGGATTTGGCGGATGGAGGAGGGTGGGTGGGGGGTGACGTGGCATGGGGTGGGTGGATGTGACGTGGCAAGTGGGGCTGGTTCCTCCCTGACGTGGCGGACGCGGGAGGGTTGGTCACGCGGCCAGAGTCATAATTGATGGTTTCTCTCTCCCCGTGTCGTGTTGTAAATCCACACCCATGCGCAGAGCAAAGCCTACTTAGTGTGCTCTCAGCTCCTGTTTCTGAACCCCCCGGAGAAGATTCAGTATTACCTTGCACCGGAGGAAGTGTTCGAGGCGTTCGCTGTCCACTTGTCTCACGAAGGGCTAGAGTCAATGAAGCTGCTGTGGTTGCACAACGACAAGTCAACCATGGGTGTCTTCAACCACCAGATGTCATCAACCAGGTCAACAATCAACAGCACCCTCAGGCCAGCAACGTACGCCGGCATGGGTCTCTCCGATTACGCCAATGCGGTGGATAGCCTGCCCACTGAGCTACGCCCGGAGAAGTGGTTCAACGACGAGCAGCTCCTGGCCGAGTACAGAGATGGTATGTGCGTCTCAAACACACCATATCCCCCTGCCCATAAGCCAGTCAGCAGCTACAAATAACCGTGCCGTGGTACTCTGACCCTGTCTCTCACCCCCCCACTTGATCTATCTGCACCCCCTTTCCAACCCATACGCTCCCTCCCAAAATGCAGAACAGTGGACCCTCAACTGGCACTTTGACAAGGCCACCGGAACGCCCTTCAGCAACCCCTTGTTTGCTTATGCGTTCAAGCTCTCCTTCAAGAGGAGCGGGGTCGTGTTCACCAAGTTCAAGAGCCGCATGGTGGCATGGGGCCTGTTTTCGGTAAGGAGGTAGATAAGTGACACTACACCCATGCCTCATCCCCTAAACCCCTCGCCTGTACTTCATCTAAAACCCAGGTCGCTTAGGCGTTTGCGGTTACGTAGGGTGTGACGTCTTCTCTGCTTTCAGTTGGATCATATGCCCATAACCTCCCCTCATACACCATCCACCCAACCCTACACCACATTGCAGATCGAGTGGCCCCTTCTGCAGGACAAGCGCCGCAAGCGTATTCCGGCCCAGCCGAAACAAAACAGGCCGGACTACTTCGAGTGGTGTGACAAGGTCAAACAGATGATACACTTTGCCGTTGTGGAGCGACGCATCCCACACGATCCGGCTCAGGGTGCGTTCGTCTTCCCGAACAAGTTCCTCATCGACGATGGCGACCTTGGAGATGTTGTTCTTGCCTACCGGGGGCTTGCAGGGCCCACCATTGCGTAGACTATTTGACTGGGTGTTAAAACTGCTGGTTGTTAGAATGCTGAATAATGGAAGCTGTAACCCGCGAATATTGAATGTAATTCTGAAATCCTCAATTCCCAGAATAAAACAAAAACAAAATCCATTTTTAAATGATTTGGTCACAAAACTGACCCTAAACGGATTGCGCGCGAATGTCAGCCGGAACAGCACGCGTGCCAAATTGGAACTTGACCCGAGCCAAGCCTTGTCGCGAGATGTGTGTCGGAGCTCCTATCAAATGACTCAAACTGTCGGTCAAAATTCGGTCCCGAATTTTTTACGCGAAGACAATCCCAATCAAAATTCGTCCAAACTTGGCATAGGGTTTTTGTGATGTTGTGCTAGTCGCCGTGTACCACGTGAGCGTCCGCCACCTGTCCCTGGCACACACCGGATGTCACTTCGTCCCTCCACTGCTCCACAGCGTGTCCCTCTGCCGTCTCCTCCCCCGTCCTCTCTTCCTGCCCTTGCTGACCCGGAGTCTGACTCCGTTCGTGCTGCCAGTCCTACTGTCACACGTCTCCTGGCCACTGCTGTCACTGACCCTTCCTTTGAGTCTGCTGCTGCGTCAGCCCTAGTTGCTGAGCTTGTCGACTTTGCAGCTCGCTGTCGTCTAGACTACGCTGCCAGTCTTGTTGCTGAGTCTGAGTCTGTTTGTCCTCCGTCCGTCGGGGGTGAGTGTGCTCTAGGCACTGACGTCCTTGAGGACAGACAAGAGGACCTTGAGTGTCTTGCAGCCGCTGCGCCCCATCTCGTGTCCATGTTGATTGCCCTTGAGGGAGACCCGGATGCACTAGACATCCCGACTCCTTGATCGTACGCTGAGGCGATCGAGGGTCCCTACTCCTCTCAGTGGCAGTCAGCCATGGATGCAGAGATGGCTTCCTGGAAGTCCACAGGCACCTACGTCGACGAGGTTCCCCCACCTGGGGCGAACATCGTCAGTGGCATGTGGATTTTCAGGGTGAAGCGGCCGCCGGGTTCTCCGCCTGTCTTCAAGGCTCGTTACGTTGCTTGAGGCTTCAGTCAGCGAGAGGGAGTAGACTTCTTTCAGACCTTCTCCCCCACCCTGAAGATGACCACTCTTCGGGTACTACTGCACGTTGCTGCTCAGCGTGACTACGAGCTTCACTCTCTTGACTTCAGCACAGCTTTCTTGCAGGGCAGTCTGCACGAGAAGATCTGGCTGCGCCGCCCTCCTGGCTTCACTGGGTCGTTTCCTCCTAGTACCCAGTGGAGCCTCCGTCGGCCGGTCTACGGTCTCCGCCAGGCACCACGTGAGTGGCACGACACACTGAGGACTACTCTTTCGGCACTTGGGTTCGCGCCCTCTACTGCTGACCCGTCGCTGTTTCTGCGCACTGACACTTCGCTGCCGCCGTTCTACATCCTCGTGTACGTCGACGACTTGGTCTTTGCCATTGCTGAGACTGAGGCTCTCGCCCACGTGAAGTCGGAGCTGCATAAGAGACACACGTGCAGAGACCTGGGTGAACTGCGCAGCTACCTTGGCTTGCAGATCACCCGGGACAGAGCACGCCGCACCATTACCCTGACTCAGTCACACATGGTGCAGCAGGTCCTTCAGCGCTTCGGCTTCACCTGGTCCTCTGCACAGGCCACTCCTCTGGCTGTAGGTCACTCGCTCTCAGCTCTGCCTTCGGATGAGTCCGTAGAGTCGAGTGGTCCTTACCCAGAGTTAGTTGGTTGCCTCATGTACCTGATGACTTGCACTCGTCCTGACCTAGCATACCCTCTTGGCCTTCTGGCCCGCTACGTAGCTCCTGGTAGGCACCGAATGGTGCACTGGGATGCTGCAAAGAGGGTGTTGCGCTACTTGTGTAGTACATCAGGCATGGGGCTCGTGCTTGGAGGAGGGAGCCCAGTTGTTCTCACTGGGCACTCAGACGCTTTTTGGGTTGACGACCAGACTACTCAGCGGTCGTCACAGGGTTACACCTTCAACCTTGGTTCTGGTTCAGTTTCGTGGCGCTCTACACGTTCGTCTTCAGTTCTCAGCTCCAGTTGTGAGGCTGAGATCTACGCCACAGCCATGGCTGCACAGGAGTTACGCTGGCTCACCTACCTGCTGACCGACCTTGGAGAGAGGCCTAGTTCTCCTCCAGTGCTGTACGTCGACAACAAGGCTGCCATTGCCTTATGTGAGGAGCACAGACTGGAGCACAGAACGAAGCACATCGCTCTCTGTTACTTCCTTGCTCGAGAGCTGCAACAGCGTGGTCAGCTTCATCTGCGTTACGTGGCCTCTCAGGCCAACACCGCTGATATATTCACCAAGGCACTTCAGCCTGGTGATCATCTGCGCTTCTTTACTTTGCTGGGGCTGGTGCCCACTTTTCCTCACTTGTTGTAGGCTTTGCCTGTACCGTGATCTCTATATATACTCTTGCCTGTTTGCTCTGCTAGGCTGAGATCACCCTTGTTGTTTGTACTACATATATACTTTTGCATGTGAACTGGCCATACGGCCCTTTGCTTGTGCTCGGAATGTGTGGTGACGTCGTGATCCATCCTGATCTTGCTTGTCTTTCCTGACTGGTCTTGTGACCCCTTGCTCTCCCCCAATTTGCCTATGGGGGTGTGTCAAACACTATATGTGTTGTTGTTGTGTAGGCTATAGTGGGTTAGCCTTTAGGGAGTACACAAAACTAGGGTTCACTACTTGTACTCCATCTTTTCATAGTTCATACACTTCTCATTCTGACACATTTGAACACCCCCATAGTCTTGTTCGACATATACAATGAGCACTGGGCCGTTTCTGTC